ATGTTTTTTCAAATATGACAGTTATGAATTTTTTAATTGCCTAAAATCCTGCAACTTGTTCGGCAACGCTTCTTTATTTAACATATTTATTTTTATATTATACTTTACATTTTGTTTTTCCGCGAACGGTGTCGCCTATCAGGTGGAACTGCGAGCACTAGCCTTACTCCGAACTCGCTATTTTTGTCACTTAAGCTCTTTTATCGCTTCTTGTATTAATTCTAAGACGTACACCCAAGACGTCCCCGCTACTGTCTTTTGTTCCTCGCGACATGGTTCTTCACGACAACGATCGTCAGCACGACCTCGCTGACAGCAATGCAAGGTGTTATAGTGAATCCTCGTGTAAGTGCTTAGACTTACCAGAACCCGCGTGTGTTTTCTTGTGCATGATATTTTTGCCTCTTTTAGTGTTTAAAAAAAAATGTCTTCAAACGCAGCCTCAAGTCCAAAACGCTCCTAACTGAGCGAACGCACCCCTCGCGACAATTACGTCTTGATCACTAAGGTGATTTCTTTCGTCGTTCTTGACGACGAGTCACCATCGGGGACCCCCGCAGTATCCCGCACCCCGGAGAGGCTGCCACCGGCATCACCAGAGGTGGAGGTCCTGTGCGTCCGGCCTCCGCCGCCTGCTTCTCCTGACCCAGTGTCCCCGACCTACCACTACGGGTGTAAGCAACGCTATCCTGAGATGGTCCCCGAAAAACGACGAGCTCTATGACAACGAAAACGAATTGGTGTGCCTGGGGCCCCTCTCCGCCCCGCGTCTCACCGTCGCCCATCACTCTCTCCGACTCAGAGTGATGGTAAGTAGTTACCACTTTTTAACCACTTGCGCTGGCAAACAATTCACTGACGCTTGTACCAGAACGGTCCAGTGTAAATTGCTGGGAGGCGTCACGCAATGTTCGATGCCTCAGAGAAATCGGAAAAAAATTTGTTCTTTCTTCCACATATTTTTTATTCGATGACCAAATTTATAAACAGTCCTATGGTGTTCCTATGGGATCACCTTTATCTCCGATTATA